TTGGCATCGGGGCGCCGCACACGGCCGCTGCCAGAAGAATGGCGGCGAGCACTACTGCTGGCAGAACTGCTCGAGTCTGGCGAGGCTGGTCGCGGCACGACCAACCGAGCCGGCCCCTGAAAGTTGACTCGGTGAGGTGTGGCTGGTTTGTCGCGAAAATTTGAGATTCGATCCTCGAGACGGGCACTTTTAAACGTACCAGTTGCCATTGCTTTGAGCCCTGGGCTCGATGCAAGGTGGTAGGCTGCCAAGTTTGACGGCACTTGGCGCAGCGGAGTATGCCTTCTCGCTGAGTTGTGGTGGTTGAGACCACCGGCTTGGATCTGTCAATGAAGGCAAGTCAAGCCCTGGCGTGAGTGTTCAAAGAGGACGGGCACGCTCGAGGGGAAGAGGCCTTTCTGATGAGGCCAAGTGCTGATCCATGCGGCGGTGCCTCAGCCCACGACAGGATGGAAGGCAAGCCGCGCGTGCCAGTGGAGATCTGCCACAACCAAGGGGACGTACTTGCCCGCCGAGGCACGCCAACACATGCGGCAGGCCTCGACTGTTTCTGCTCCGCCTCGAGCCGCCATGATAATCACCCACTCAACGATCACACACTCGGCAGCAGACCCAAGACAGCAAGCCAAGGACCCTTGTCAATTCTGAGCACGCTTGGACGCGGCCACCACTGCAGCATCCCTTTGAGCAGCAATGCTTGCTCTGCAGATCAAGTCACAGATCAAGTCTGCTATCCCTTGACGTCTTCAAAACCATCCCCCACCTTCCCTCACGAACCCCTGGACACTCTGACCCCCCCACCTCCTTTCCGCCCCACACCACACCACGCTTACCCCACCCACAAAGCCCCAGCTCCGCGGATCGCTCAGCCCGATCGCCACTGCCACCACCGTCGCGAGTCAAGTCGTGTGTGTGTGTGTGTGTGTGTGTGTGTCAGTGTGTTCCGTCAAACAAGAGAAACACACAGAGGAGAGTGTGTCGTCAAATGATGAAAGCAGAGAAATCTCTCTCTCTCTCTCTCTCTCTCTCTCTCTCTCTCTCTCTCTCTCTCTCTCTCTCTCTCTCTCTCTCTCTCTC